CTTAAGTACAAAACAAATTTGATACTTTAAGACTTTTTACCAAAGTAATTTTATGATAAGATACTTGTACTTTTATTTGCCAAAGTTCTCCTCTTTTATTTTGACAAACCCTTAAACTGCGGGCACTTCCTGTGCGCGGTCAAAAACAACGGAAGTTGTCCAGAAGTGCCTGGTGTCACATAGTTTACGGTCCGGGGCCGCCTGTCAGCCTGCATATGAGGGTGCTGCTTCCCGCTGCTCGGCTCGGATAGTCGGGGGATGCAGCCGGGATGGAGTTGAAACACAGAAACAGCAAAGTGTTGGGCAGAGTTTGAGACAAAGGGAGGGGGCTCGGCGTAAGTTCCGTAAGTGAACTGACCGCCCGGTGAGTTACAGTTTTAAATTGTTTAAGTCGAGGGGGAAGCAGAATTAAAGTCGGAGCGGAGATGAAGCTGCTAAAGCCGAGCTGGGTGAGCCACAACGGTAAGCTTGTGCAGGAATCTGTAGGACCAAGTTGAGCTTTTGTTGTCGGGAGGGGGGGTGACTTGTTAAAGAGGCATGATGGTGGTCGACACTTGTTTGTCACTTAAACTCTCCCATGTAGCAAACATAACTCAAAAACGGGACAACAAGATGTTTTTGGCCCATTAAATGCATTTCCTCTGCGTTCCAGATTATATTTACATTTGCTAACACACGGCTAGCTAGTTAGCCGCCGGCTAGCTCGGATGCTCTGACTTTAGCTAACTTAAAATGACGGGTGTCCAAGATGCTATCGCAAACTGGCGTCTTGTTAAATGTTTTTGACGCTCCGAGCGACATTTTTAGCCGATGCTTTGCATTTTTTTGGGGACATTTAGACATGATGGGGGTTAAAGATGTCAGTTGGTGAGACGTCCAAGCTGCTGTCACTTCGGAAAGTTAACCGTTGAGGAAACGGCCTGAATGCGGCGGCTAGTCAGTGTGGTAATTATAGGTTTACTAGAACACAGGACGGAGATTAGATTTAAATGTTAGTGGAGCAACGAAATGCGTTGTTTTAACGTTTCATTACCGACATTATTTATTTACACTGAGTTCAAAATGTCCGCAGAGTTATAATTAAACAACTCATAATGTTGTTATTTTATGTACTCCTCTCAAAATAAGAAGACAGTTGTTACTGTTCTGCATTGATGCCTGTTCATCCCAGACGCTAATGCACCCAGATACCATCAGAGAGGCAGGTTTTTAAACTGCAGGCTGCAAGATGAGGCGTTTGTGGTGTCCAAAAATAATTTAAACTCTGAATACGTCTGACCACAGAACAGTTCTTCACTTTGTCCCGGTTTATTTCAAATTATTGTTGGCCCAGAGAAGCGTGCAGCAGGTCTGGGTGGCTGCTTCTTTGCCTGACAGAGCTTTAATCGGTGTTTATGGATGACACGGTGAGCTGCGTTTAAGGACAACGACTTGTGGAAGTGTTCCATGCAGGGAACCCCCCCAGAATGAAACCAGACCTGTTTTTAATGCAGCGACCCCCGTTTCTTTAGTGCACAGACAGTCAACAAATAAATATAAAAATGAATCAAGTTTATTAAATTATCAAAATAAAAAATAACTAATATTTTATGAGCTGAAATCTTTAAAATATTCACTTTTGAGTTAAATGAAGTCATTTTAAGGCAGAAATTAATCAAGTAAAAATGCATTTTTAAGTTAATTTGTATCATGTAAAGGACTATCTGTGCTGTATATTTTTTTAATTGTTATAACAGAGTTATATAAAGGTTAAAACATCCTTCAAAATATAATTAGCCATAGACATAAATCACAGCCGTACAATTTAAAGATGCACAATATTTTGAAAGTTTATTGTCATCAGAATAATAATGTTGGCAATATCTACATAAAAAACATAGTATTTTGACTTCATTAAACCATAAATTGTTATATTACAGGTGATGATATCAGCTGAGGTATACAGGAAGTGTTTTTATGATAAGGGAAGTGATGTGTTTAAATGTTTTAATTTATATCTCAATCACATTTTTTAAAATTGTGCAACTCCGGCATGCCATAACAATAGTTAGTTAGTTTTATGAGTTTGAAACGAACTAAAATATGAGTTAATGTGACTAAAATGGAGTTTGGGGGGGGGGGGTGTATTTGATTGACTTAAGCAGCTTGCTTGCTTGAAACCCCTGGAAAACATGCAGGGCGTGTTTAGTTTCACACAACCAGGAGAGAAACCTGTGTCAGCTCAGCTGCGTGCTCTGACAGACCTGTGGAAAATCACTGCAGACTTAGGAATTCTCCACAAGGCTGACTGTCAGTAAAAATGGGAAATAACAAGTGAATGAAATTCTTCTGTCATCACATAGTTCATCATCTTTCTTTCATAACTTTCCTTTTACATTATAAATCTCTTTTTGCTTTTTTGATTAACCTCAATAATAGGGACGCACCGATGTGAAAATTTCAGCCGATATCGATATCTGATATAATTATTGGTGTTATGGCCGAGAACCGATATTTACCGAT